GAGAGAGAGCATGAGAGAGGAGAAGGTCAGAGGGAGAAGCCGACACCCCAAGGAGCTGGGAGCCCGAGGCGGGACTCGATCCTGGAAGTCCGGGATCATGACCTGAGCTGAAGCCAGTTGCTCAACCAACTGAGCCACCCAGGCACCCCTATAATAGGTCTTGAATCAGGTAGTGAAAACCCTCTAACAGCCCTTTTAAAAACGTGTCTTGGCTATTTCTCGGTCCTTTGACTTTTGGTATAAATCTTAAAATCAGCTTGTCGATTTTTCAGAAAAGCCTATTTGGAATTTGTTTGGGATTTCATTGAATGTGCAGATATATTTATGGAGAACTGCCATCTTAACAGTAAGTCTTCCAGACCATGAACTCAGTGTATCTCCCCATACGTTAAATATTTCACGTTTTCAGTGTGTAGGTTTGCATATCTTTTGCTCAGTTTCTTTTTTTTTTTTTAAGGTTTTATTTATTTATTTGACAGACAGAGATCACAAGCTGGCAGAGAGAGGAAGGGAAGATGACTCCCTGCGGAGCAGACAGCCCGATGCGGGGCTTGATCCCAGAATCCTGGGATCATGACCTGAGCCGAAGGCAGAGGCTTTAACCCACTGAGCCACCCAGGCGCCCCAAATCTTGCCATTTTAAAGTGAACGGTTCAGTAGTGTTTAGGTACTTTCTCACTTGTGTAACCACCACCATTATTTATTTCCAGAATCCTTTAAGTCCTGTGCCCATTACCAGTCACTCCCTATATTCCTGCCAACCCACTAGTCACCAGCTTTCTTCTGGACTTCTCTGACTTATTTCACTTAACATAATGTTTTCTAGGTTCAAACATATTGTAGTATGTATTAGTAATAAACATGGGAAGGCAAATATCTCTTCCAGATGGTAATTCCATTTACTTTGGATATATACCCAGAAGTGGGATTACTGGATCATATGATAATTCTATTTTTAATTTTTTGAGGACCACCTGCACTGTTTTCCATAGTGGCTGCACCAATTTGCATTCCTAAAACAGTGCTTGGGGTTTCCTTTTCTCCACATCCATACCAACACTTATTATCTCTTATCTTTTTGATAACAGACACCCTACAGGTGTGATCTGGTGTCTCTGTTGTGGTTTTGACTTGCATTTCCCTACTGCTTAGTGAAGCTGAGAGCCCTTTCACATGCTTATTGGTCATTTGAATGTCTTCTGTGGAAAAATGTCATCATCTCTGGTCAGGTTTCTTCTTGTGAAGTTAGCCCCCATTGCTGATGATTGTAAAGGATGTTATACTATCATCCCTTCTTCATTTAGTAGCTGGAAAATGTTCATAAAGAGACATTTGCCCTCATTGACCATTTGGCTATCCAGAGATACAGTTCATAGGGAAAACACATGATAGGTGCTTGATTTTTTACCTTTATTTCAATTTTTTTATTTTTATGTTTTAGGATTTTATTTATTTAAGAGAGAGCATGTGCTCATGCAGGAGGGAGTAGCGGGGAGGGAGAAGCAGGCTCCCCGCTGAGCAGGGAGTCCACAGCCAATATGGATCCACCCGGATTCCATCCCAGGACCCTGAGATCATGACCTGAGCCACTTAAGGCAGCTGCTTAACCAACTGAGTCACCCAAGAGCCCCTATTTCCAATTTTTTTTAAGTAATGACTTGGTTTGGGCGTGCCTGGCTGTCTTAGCCAGTGGACCGTGCAACTTCTAATATCAGGGATGTGGGTTCAAGCCCCACGTTGGGTGTAGAGATTAGTTAAAAATAAAAGCTTAGGGGCACTTGGATGACTCAGTGGGTTAAGCCTCTGCTTTTAGCTAAGGTCAGGATCTCAGGGTCTTGGTATTGAGCCCCGTTTTGGGCTCTCTGCTCAGCAGGAAGCCTGCTTCCCCCTCTCTCTCTGCTTGCCTTTCTGCCTAGTTGTGATCTCTCTCTCTCTCTGTGTCAAATAAATAAAATCTTTTTAAAAAATAAAATAAATAATAAATAAAAGCTTAAAAAATAATAAGATGAGTTGGTTTACTAGTGTCCTTGAGAGGTAACAATGAAGTTTTATTTTGTCTTGAATTGCTTTTAATATAATAATTGATTTTGGGGGCGCCTGGGTGGCTCAGTGGGTTAAGTCGCTGCCTTCGGCTCAGGTCATGGTCTCAGGGTCCTGGGATCGAGTCCCACATTGGGCTCTCTGCTCAGCGGGGAGCCTGCTTCTCTCTCTCTCTCTCTCTCTCTCTCTGCCTGCCTCTCTGTCTACTTGTGATCTCTCTCTGTCAAATAAATAAATAAAATCTTTAAAAAAAAATTGATTTTGGGCTTTAACTATGCTCACGTGTTTTGTTCCACTGTCACTATTGTCTTTACTGATGTTCCGATTCTCCCATCTTTGCCAGCAGGAACTTCTTCAAGCTGGGGCTTTTTAGGCTTTTGACCTCAGTCCAGCGGCCTTTGATAGCTTTATTGTTTTCTTATTTGACAAGATATTCCAGGCTTATCTTGTCTATTGTATTTCCTGTGCCAGACATAAAATCAGCCATTTCTCCGAAGAGCCCAGTTTTCCTTTTAGTGGGAAATGGCATTTGGAGATGTCAGTTAAGGTATTCGAGGTGTTTATTTCTATTGCATTAGTCATTATTTATAGATCTTTTCAGTGGAAAAAACTAGGAAGTATTTATATTTAAACTACATCATGAATGTAGAGACCGCTTTTAGGGAGCAGGCGTAAGCCCTGGAAGCCAAATGGGGTAGAAGGGCATGCAGGGACCACTGGGCTGAGTGCAGACAGACCCATCTGAGTGCAGAGGCGACCCACCTCAAAACAGCTGCAAGACCAGGGCGCCTGGATGGTTCAGTCGTTAAGGGTCTGCCTTCCGATCAGCTCACGATCCCAGGAGTCCTAGGATCCAGTCCCCTTTCGGGCTTCCTGGTCAGCAGGGGAATCTACTTCTTCCTCTCCCTCTGTCCCTGCTCCTGTGCTCTCTCTCGCTCACTCCCTCTTTGTCAAATAAATAAAATCTTAAAAAAAAAAAAAAAAAAGCTGCAGATCCTAGCTGACCAAAGGGCGACTTACAACCGGGCACAGGTACCAAAGAAGGAAAGTTCCACACATTCCCATACCTCCTCACTCCCCTCCTGAATTATAGCCCCTCAGCCCTGCCTCCTGGCAGACAGTCTCTCCCTTGCTGTGCCGCGGTCCTGCCGGCTGCTCCCTTGTATTCAATAAACTTCCGTCTTCTTCATTCTGCCTTGGGTGAATCCTTTCACTGCCCATGCCACCGGCCTCCACCCCATTGGGTTACCCCACAATGAATTTATAGTGATTTTTCCAATTCATATACAGGATGACAGAATTTCTACTTACCCTCCTCCTATTTCCATCTTAAAAAAAAAAAAAAAAAAAAAAGAGTTCCCGTTCTCAATAACACCAACCTGATCACTCCTACAACAGCCTCACGGGAGAGTTATCATGAATTTGCATGTCATCTGTACCCAGGAACCATGCCAATCCTCTCTGTGGTGTTCTAAATTTAGTATATGTGCTGCCAAAGTGAGAACATATCATCTTTATAATCTTTACCAATCTGAAAGGTGAAAAACCGTATCTCATTCTCATGGGAGTTTGCAATTCTTTGGTAATTAATGAGGTTGGGGGGGTGTTTTCATTAGAGGCCAGGGCTGGTTTAAGCCTCTATAAAATTGCCGGTATTGTCCACAACAGCATTCCCCAATGGTCCTTTGCTCAGATCAACAAATGTCCGGTGCTACTATTTACTCACTGGATTTTTAGTCACTGAGCCTCCTCTTAAGCAGTCATATACAGGCATGTTACACATTAATAGAATTGGCGCCTCCTGTATACTTCCCTAGAGCCCAGTAACATATGCACATCACTCTTAAACAAGCAAGTGCCACCTGAAATCATCTCATGGACCACCCACCTGGGGGTGAGCACCACCCTCGAGGAATCCCTGCCCTACAAGTATTCTGACACTGTGCCCCGTGTCCACAGCTCTTCCGTAAGAAAGACCATGTTCCGGGGGAAAACCAGACCCCATGCCTGCCCTCACTTGGTGCTAGGGGCCAGTTCACCCTAATGGTGATGTCCTTCACCATCTAGATGGGAAAGACGACCCAGGGCTGGACTTGCAATGCTGCAGTGGGCCAGCTGGTATCTTGGGGAGCTAGTGCCCAGTGTCCCCGCTAGCCCCCAGTGGCCTCGTCTGTAAAATGGGGAAATCGGAGCAAATGATGTGAAATAGACATGAGAATGCTGCTCCTTAGGGCCACCCATTTTCTCCCATTTTGGGCTCCCAGGTCGGGACTGGTGGTGGGTGGTCCCCATCTGCACCAGCAAGCCTCTCTGTGGTATCACCGACAGAGGACTCACACCTCAGGAGCCTACAAGCTCCGATGCCCAGGGAACACCACAGGCTACTGAAGAATGAGAGCAGCTGTGCCCAGATCCAGAGGAACCGAGGTTAGTGTGGAGGCCGAGAAAAATTAAGGCCATCCCAGCTCAGGTTTAACCTTAGCATAAGAACAGCCATCTTAGCTCCGGCAGCCATCTCAGACCCCTATGCCCAAGGGCTGAACTTTCCCCTACTTTACTTTAGTTCTAAGAACCCCCACCCTGCTTTGGTTCCAGAGACCCCCACCCTGCTTTAGTAACAGGAACCCATAAATACCCCTGCCTTAACTAAGCTCGGGGTCCAAGTCCCTACTCCGCTGTGTTGGGTATACTTGGGCCCAAGCTTAAGCTTGTTAAATAAACCCTTGTGTGATTGCATCGGTGTTGGCTTCTTGGTGGTCTCTGGGACGCGAAAACTCGGGTATAACAGTTAGGGCAGTGTGGGTCTGTGCGATCATCCTGAGGGTGAGACTTGCTATCAGGTCACCCCTGGACAGGGCAGAGACTTGCTATCAGGTCACCCCTGGACAGGGGCAGAGCCCAGCTTGAGAGGGCGTCAGGAGTCCAGAAGAGACAATGCACATATCCTAGAAGCCCAGACGGCACCCTGCTGCCAGCAGCAGGGTCCAGATCAGGGAGGATCTGAGAGTATGTGCGGTGTGTATGCACGCATATGGCCTGTGGAATCTGGGGAAGTAGAAAAGCACAGCGGTTTTAAACCAGGGAGCCTGGCCTTGACTCCCACCCTTGCCCCTTCCTAGCTGCATGGCCTTGGACAAATCACTTAATGATGTCTGCCTTAGTTCCTTCCTCTGCAGAATAGGGATCACAGTATTACCAACTTCATGAGAGTGACAAGGCTTCAAATGGTTAACACATGAAAAATGTCACAAGCATTAGCTTCTGTGTTTGAGACAGAGAGGAAAACAGGAAGAGGGTGAAGGAGAAAGGGCAAATTAATCAAGGCCACTTCTCCAGGGAGGTGGGGGTGAGGGGAGTGATCTCCAGCCTTGAGTTCTGGGAAGAAGATGGGATACACCCCAGTGGGCTTCTCTCACAGAGCTAAGGAGAAAAACAAACAAACAGAAAAAATGCCTAGAGGTGTTTTGTTACTCAGTTAGGGCCCAGAGGTGAGGCCCCTCACCTCACCCAACAAGCTCTTGTTAAGAAAAAAACTATGAAATGTTCAGTGGCCCCTGGGCCTGATGTTATCTGTTAGAGGAAGCACTGAGTTGCCAGATTCTTCTGTGGAGACCAGCCTGCAGCTCAGAGGGGTGCAAATAGCACTTAGTCTTAAGGACAGTCAGAGGGACTGACTGTGAGCTCTTACCACCTGGGAAAGCAACAGCTAAGTTTGTGGAGCGTGCCATGTGCCGCCACAATTCCATGTGCAGGAAGATGATAAATGGCCCTGGACGGTGGGTCAGGTACCCTGTTGGTGGCATTAAGCTCAGTTCCAAACTCTTAGTGCGGGGGCCACCCAAGCGTCCCGAGATCCACTGGTATTGGTAATCCTTTCCAGATACCATGCCCACTAAAAACAGCTCCCCCAAAAGAAGTCGTTTCTTCTTCGCACCAGAGCAGAACCTGACATCTGTTGCCACCTGTTTGATATACTTAAACACTCTGGCAATTTCCTTGAAGCAGTGTGTGTGCACACGTGTGTACACGTGTGTGTCTGTGATGTCTAAAGAGAAACCTCCCTTTTGGCCCCTTTCCTAAAATGCCAGAGAAGGTTTGAGTCCTATCCCATCTTCAAATGTTCCACTGGGACTTTTCCCTGCCCTGGGGCTTTCTTCTCAAAGACTGGCCACCGCCCTCAGCAGGAAAACTCACCTGCCCAGAGAAGCAGCAGGAGAGACCCAGAGGCATCAAGACATTCCTTCATACCTCCTTCGTATTCATCAAGACATTCCTTCATACCTCCTTCGTATTTCCTTTACCTGCTGCCTGGTGACTGAAATTCCTTCAGCAAGGTCAGGCCTTCTGTTCCCCATCAAGAGACAGTGAGCTATTCCATAAAGATCCAGAAGTAAAGATTTTGGGCTTTTGGCCGTACAGTCCTTGTCCCAGCTGCTTAACTCTCACATAGCTAGAAAGCAGCCATAGATAATACACAATAAAAGAGCATCAATGTGTTCCAATAAAGCTTCATTTACAAAAGCCGGACTTCCGGCACTGCTGGCCGGAAGTTGCCGGCCGCTTGTCCCACATTTACAGAGAAGGGCAGTGGGCTGGGATAGGGAGAGCTGTCATTTACAGGGTGGATACCACATGCCAGGCACTTTTATACTTGGGATTTCATTTAGTCCTCACAAAAGTCACTATGTAGAAGGAACGATCAATATCCCAATATCCCCATTTTATTTTTTAAAATCTCATTTTTTTTAAAGATTTTATTTATTCACGTGGCAGACAGAGATCACAAGTAGGCAGAGAGGCAGGCGCGCGGTGGGGGCGGGGGGAAGCAGGCTCCCCACCAAGCAGAGCCAGATGTGGGGCTAGATCCCAGGACTCTGGGGTCATGACCGGAGTGGAAGGCAGAGGCTTTAACCCACTGAGCCACCCAGGTGCCCCTAATTTATTTTATTTTTAAGTAAGCTCTACCCAGCGTGGGACTTGAACTCATGACCCCAAGATCAAGACTCACATGCTCTACTGACTGAGCTAGTCAGGTGCCCAATATCCCCATTTTATAGCTCAGGAAATTGAGGCTCAGAGAGGTTAAGTAACTTGGTTGAGGTTGCTCAGCTGATGCCAGCAGAATCTGAACTCCAGTCAGCAAAGTTCCAAAACATGTGTTTTTTTTGTACAGAAATAAAGATGCACAGATTGCTAGAGCCAAATAGGGCTCAGAGCTCAACGCATCTAACATCCTCATTTTACAGGGAGGAAGTGGGGATAGCAGGGGGAGACTTGCCTTAGTCTGCTTTCTCCAGTTTGTACAGGAGTGGTCCTAATACTGCTGCCTGGGCATAGCATCTCTCCTCATGAATAAGTGGTTGTCAGCAGGGTCTCTCTTACTCAAGGTGATACAAGACTCCCTCTTTCCATGTTCCTGCCCTATCCTCTGCTGAACATCTAGTCCTACGTCACAGATACAGCTAACAATTTTTTTCCCCTCACTGGAAGAACTATATTTATTGTAGCATTGGTTGTGGAGGTTTGGATTAGCTGGACAACTTTATGTTGTGAATAACAGAAACTCAACTCAAATTGGCTTAGAAAATAAGTCATTTATTGGCTTACATAACCAAAGAATTTAGAGATGGGGCCCACTTCATGTGGGGCTTGATATAGGCTCAAACAATGTGTCTAGGACCCAACATCTCTGTTGGTTCCTCATCATCCTTAGTATTGGTTTTAATCTCAGGCGTGTTCTCCCTCATGGTGGCACAATGGCTGCCAGCAACTCCAGGCACTACGTCTTCCCTTATTTGCAGACTTTCCCCCAAACAAGGGGGCTCTTTGCCAGAAACACCGGCAGTCATTCCCTTGCATTTTATTGGCTTGGGTTAGACTGCATCACTGCATCCAGGGGTTGGGACACTCTGTCTTAAGCTAATCAGAATCGATCCCTGGAACTGGGGGTGGGGTTAATTATACCAAAACCACATAGCTGAGAACCAGGAATACGTTAATTTCCCATGACAAGTCAGGGTGATGCTGGCAGGAGAAGAGGAGTTGGTGAAGAAAAATGTCTGCTGTGGGTTGAATTCAGGGTCCTCAAAGCGCTCTTCCATTACCAAGAGTTCACTGGTCCATTCTGTTTCTTCCTCCTCCAGGCAGAGGAGGCTGATTTTGCAAATGCCATCATTCTCTTTTCTTCTTGGAGGCAAGGGTCAGCCTCCTCTGCATCCGCCTGGCTTCCAGGCCATGTGAGGATGGCTCCCAGGCTCAATATGGGGCAGCTGTGCTCCTCCTCATGGGCACTCCTTGGTGGCCAAGCCCACGGCCAAAAACGCCAACGCTCAACCCACTGGAGAAGGGGTTTGAAATATATTTTTAAAAAGATTTCATTTATTTATTTGACAGAGAGAGATCACACATAGGCAGAGGCAGACAGAGAGAGACGGGGAAGCAGGCTCCCCGCCGAGCAGGGAGCCTGATGCGGGGCTCAATCCCAGGACCCTGAGATCATGACCTG